GAGATGCTGATAGAGATATGCTTATGGACATGGCTGAAAAAAAGGCTGTCCTGAACAAAAAACTATCCTGAGTGAATCCTAAATTACAACCTGTTACTTCCCTAATAAATCCAGTAACTGTGAGTATGGTCTATGAGTTCTGTGTGGCCTCGACAAAGAATTATCAAACCCAGCAGAAAAGCGGAGAGTGCCATAGGAGGAATGGCTGGTGTCATAATGGGGGAAAAGATTGAAGAAAGGAGGTATGTCTGACCTCCACATCATAGGAATCAGCCTTGGCCTGATGCTGATGGTGAGTCACTCTTCCTGTCATGAAGATAGAGGGGATCAGACGCTTCCGCTGTGCCATTTTGACACATATTTATTCTCTGGGGATTTCCTGCATCACTTCAGTCCCTTATCGGCTGTCAGACTTGAATGGTTCTCCACCTGCTTCAATGCCTACAAAGGATTCTCTGATCCCTTGAGTTCAGTAACCAGTTTAATTTCCTATCTGTTGCAGACCAAAACTTTGGTAAGACAAAATGAAAACGAATGATCAAATAATGAAATAAAAGAACACAAAACACAAAGCCTACTTTTTTTTTCTCTTCAGATTAAACTGACAAAATTCAATAAAAATGGAGAAAGCAATAGAAATAGGAAAGATCATTACAAAAACTATTGTTTTTTTTTCCCCCCTTTTTCATTGAAAGTGGGCACGAGGGACCAGAAACAGTTCACAGCCATCCCCAGTGTTAGGCCACACAATCCTTGAGGAGCACTGCCCCAGACATCTCACAAGGTACCCTCAGCCTTGGCTTGGCCTCTGACAGGTCACTCACTACTCCCTGAGAGGTCTCTGTTCAGGGTTGGCTCTGACTTTTTTGGAAATGCAACTAACATCAGGCTGAAGTCTGTCCCTCCATCTTCCAGCCGTTGGCGAGTTCAAGCCAGCCAAGTGACTAAGGAGTTGGAGAGGATATGCCAGCCATCTCCCAGGAGGATGGAGTGTACATGAGAGTTGGATTCAGATGAAATAGTTTGTGTCTGCTGGTGCAGGGGTCATGGCAGATTCTGCCGTTGGGCAGGTGTAGTAGTGTTTATTAAGCAGGAGAGGGGTCGAGGGTAACTTGTAATTAATGCTAATTGTCAGGCCCCTTGGCTATTTGTTGAGAGATTTTCTATTTGATGTTCAATCAAAGATGAAGATGAGTCTTCTGGCCCGAGTCAGGAGAATGCTTGCCCTCAGGTGCTGTGTGTGAAGGGGGCAGATCAGAAGCCAGCACACGCCAGGTACAGGGTTTGGTCTCCACAGTCCATCTGCCCACTTACTGGCTGTGTGACCCAGGAAAGTTGCTCATCCTCTCCGAGCTTCTGTCTCTTCTGTGCAATGAGATTTTATTTCCTTTTGGGGATTAAATGAGATAGTAGCCTAGCTCCTGGTTAGGGCTTCCTTGGAGACAGAATTCTACTAAATATCAAGAAACTCCTGGATAAAAACCCCA